TATTAAATTTAATAAATTTTTTTTATTTTAATTCTATATAATTTCAAAATTAAAATAAAAAAATTTTTAACAATTTTAATTAAATAGTTGTTGAGATATTTTAATTTAAAAAATTACTAAAAATGATTTGTCCCTTTTCTATTGACTCACCCCCATATGCTCTATATAAGCTCGAATGAATTTTATCTGTCAAAGGATTTGATAAATCAACCAATTCAGCATGCCATTTGTAGTAGTCATCAGTTAACATTTTAGACAAATAATCTTGTGAAATAGTATTGCTAGAGGCAGTTATGAAGTGGCTAGAAGACATGTTATCATTTATATAAATGCAAGTCAATTCAAAATCATATAACTGTCAAAGAAAAAAATATCACAGTTCACTTATTGGCTTATGTTCAGATTTGTGTAGTTGCCTACTTTTGAGATATATGAATTAACAGGAGTGAATACTTTTAATCATCTTTATTTGGTTTATACTGTTATTTCAATTTTACACTTTCTACATATAATAAAATAGGATCCAGCTTTATATCTACCTTTTACACTTTTCCCTTCCTCATAACTTTTCTTACATACTAGACATAATGATCCCTCAAGAATTCCATAATAATCAAATTTTTCACTACTAAATTCTTTATATAGATCAGAATATTCCCACAATATCTTATTATGAAAATAAGCATGATCATGAGTCAAATTAGATAATATACTTGCCTTAGTTGATTCCTCTAAAATCGTTTCTGATAATTTTTCCAGTGATACCTTCTCAGGAAATAAATCTTCTTTAGCTTCTAATAAATCCTTCTTGGATTAAGATATGGTTGGTATACTTATCTCAACTTTTAAATCAGAGAAATTTTCATTATCACTTCATGAACTTGGTTCACAAAGTTGGGTCATATGCTCAGGATTTTTCTCATCACTATGTAACTCAATTTGAATGCTATAATCAAAGGATACATTATCTATAATATACTGAATTTCCTTCTTCATTAATTTAGATATACTATTAGCAGAAAAGGAATGAATGCGATAAATTTTATCCATACCTATTGCATTAAAAAGTTTATAAAGCTTCTTTGCTTTTTCAATTCTTTTATATAAAAGGCTATCAGAAGTATTTGCGAGTAACTGTGTTTTTATTTCTTTATTTAAAATTCTACTAACAATATTTGATTCTAAATCAATTTGTTTTTTTGATGCTATTTCATTACGTCTTTGAATAAGGGCCTTTCCAAATAGGCAATAACACATTATAGCTTCTTGGGTTTTACAATTAGCAAGAATTATAGCATCACAAAGTTTTTCATATAAAAGCATAAAGTTAGCATTGCTGGGTTGAAATTTTGTTTTATTCGGGATTACATTATCATTAACCATGCTAACTTTGCTAATAATAGAATCGGTATATTGTAATTGTGGACTAGAGTTTTCAGAAACTTCTAATATAAATCTTTGTGCTTTGTTTTTATTAGATTGCAAAATATTATCCGAAGATAGGTCTTGAGATCTGAACTAATTTTTCTGATTTCTTTCTCTTATCTCATTACTAATTGGTTCCTTATACATTGAGTCCAGAAATTCATTAATCTCCCTATTTTCCAATAATTTAGTTTTTGTGCAGATAGATGACACAGATTCTGAGCTTTTCTCAATTTTACCAAGATTAGATGTAATATTTTGTACCAGATTTGGATCCACAGGGCCTATATAATTTTCTTTATTATAGTAAGTTTCAATAGTTGAAGCGGATGATTGAGAAATTACAAATAATTCTGAACAAGCTGAGGATGGCAAAATATCTTTTGTGGGAGATGCTTCCTGTTCATTAATGGTAACATAGATTTGGTTCTGTTCTAATTTGGTAACTCTGTCTTTAAGCTCATCATTTTTAGCAATAAGAATGGCAGTATCCATTTTATTTTTTTTCTCTAGCTCTTCTAATCTGGTTTTGAGACCAGTATTCTTTTCTATGACCTGTTTTAGCTTCACGTTCTCAGCCTCAACCTCAGTATACTTCTTTTTAAGTTCACTAATTTTAGCTACAAGCTTGGAATTCTGTTCTAATAAATAGATTTTAGATTGTGTGTTTGTCATTGTTTTATATAAAATAGAGAAATATTCAAAAGCTTAAATTAATAAAAATTATATGAGTACTTGAAAAAAAAAACATCAATCACTTCGTGAATTCGGTTTACAAAGAATTCACTTTGCCAAAAAATTTAGATAAAATTTTCAATATATCAATAAAGTTAGTATGGTCAATAAATTTACGAAATACACATGCAAACGTAAATGCGATTATGTATGCGAAATTGAGCCACCAGAGCTAGCTTTATTATATAAAAATATAAAATATTCTCATCTGGAAGATATCAAAAAATTTTCATGATAGTATTTTATTTTTATCAGAATATACATGCAAAAGTAAAAGTGATTATATGAGTAAAATTCGACTTATAAATACCATATATGTGCAGGCACATGCTAAAATATAAAGCCCAAAATATTGGCAGACTTTATTTTTTTCGAACACAAAAAATACAATATAGTCACAATAAGAACCCAAAGCACCTGGTGAAATAATTATTCCTATTATGCTAATTTT